TGGATATCCAGCTATAGTGTCCCCAGTACTATTACCACCGACTGAGGCCGGAAATTTGAATCTAGATTTTTAAGGCCCTGAAAGACCTACTCGGATGCTCTCTCACACGCACAAAAGCTTGCCATCCCTCATCCAACGGTGAGCGTTTTCACCGTCAACTAAAAACCTTAATACGGGCCTACGATAAACCCACACATTGGAGTGAGCATCTTCCTTTAGTCATGCCCGGTATCTGCACTTCGTTAAGACTTGTATGGAGTGCTCTCCCGCCGAAATACTTGTGAGACTACCCTACGGATTTCCGGCGACTTTTTCGGACCATCCCAAAGCTTCGCTGATCTTCATCCAACCGATTATGTACAACGATTTCGCCAAACAATTGTTAATCGTCGAACCATTTCCCCTCACGTGCCAGCAAGTAAGTCATACATTGACCCCAACTTGATAACGTGTTTATTTGTACTTGCCCGCGTCGATAGCATTCATAAGCCACTACAACGGCCCTACGGCGGATTATTTTGAGTCCCGTCGAGGACGGACAAGCATTTCAAACTCGACCGTGCCGATCATAACGAAGTGGTACCGATCGATCGGTTGAGGGCGGCCTATGCCGATATTCATCCGCCCACCCCAACAGATTGGACTTCTGCACCTGCCACAATGTCTTTTTCGATCACCCTACCTCCGCTTTCACCTAGTAACCCTGTGCATTTCCCTCCCCTCCCAATTCCATCCCCTACGCGCAGTGATCGTTGTGTTCGTTTCCCTGATCGTTACCAACTTGTACGTAATGCCTAACACTTGTTTTATTCACGCTAATTTTTTATACTCGAACTTTATTCTCCTGGGAGAGGGAGAATTGTAGTCACACGAAAAAGCGTCTTCTTTTAATGAGCCAAGAATCTTTCACAACTTTCAATATCAAGTAATCGTTAAGCTGCATTCTTGCGGCTACTGTGTTGTTTCCAATTCTACTCGCGATGGACCGGTTTATTATTTACAAACGCAACGGGGTATGAACCTCTTCGCCTCCGGCTGCGCCAAATTCGGACTTGCCATCAACACGAATAAGACTGCGGTCATGCACCGACTGCCGCCCCACGTTAAGCACAATGTTCCTCGTACCAATCTAACGAGACCCTGCTTGAGCAAATCGTTCCCACGCCGCTTACTAGCCGATTAAAAAGTGTTTCGTCAGATCTCGAAAGTCGGCCAGATCTTCGTTGGGCTGCAGAACTCCGTACGGAATCGCCACGGTCTCCAACTCAACACCAGACTGAATCTGTGCATAGTTGTCGTTTTTACGATGCTGTTTACCGTGCGAAAACCTGGACGGTCTACATAAATCAATTGCGGAAACTCGATTATTTTCACTTCAGTTGCGCCCAGAAGACAGTAAATCTGGACTTTCAGGAAGGGACCACGGGCACATAATTTATGGCGATTTTCCGAACTAATCTTCGACGGAAATCTCACTACGGATGCATGCCGACAAGGAGGTCAAGCTCGTCACTGCAAGGACACCTGGAAGAACACCTTAAGTTTGTTAAGCATCAACCCCAAGATCTGGGAAGTGCAGTGAAATCTGGGACAACAATTTACGAAGGCAAGCGGGTTGCCGCTATCAAATCCAAAAGAAAAGCTCGCATGCATTTGGTGCCGCTAACCGCAACGCTAACATACAGCCCCTCCCAGCATACCCACGTTGTCAACGAAATCTACGTGCCCAGGGTGATCTCGTTGGACATTTCAGGACCTAGTTCAACAACCCAGCAGCTCCAAATTCTTCCAAAACCGACCCTGTCATCGTACCTCCACGAACCACGCAGCATCCGCCTTCACTCTTCACACTGTCCTTGAACATTCATACATCATGTTGGCCTATTCGGTCACATGTTTATACACAACAGCGTGATGCACCACAATATACACACACGTAGCACACCTAGCACATCTACCACTTCACTCATCCACAGCCCGTCAAAACCCTTCGGTGCGAGTACAACTAGCAACACCACAATTGTAACCGGCATGTTACCTCCCAACCTATCCTGTTCACATTGTCACTGCATATTCACCTCGCATATCGGCCTGGTTGGTCACTTGGAAGTCCATTGAACAGAAACTGGAGAACCGGAGTTGGGAGCCCTAATATACATGAGCCGCCATCGCCCCAACTGCACACATTGTACTCGGATATACAGCTATCTCATGGACCTAATAGGTGTCATGAGCCTCCATGAAAGCCTGCAGTGAATCACCGTAGACAAGGCCACAACACTGCGGGCATCTTAACCAACACATGCACCACACACGAACACCTCGAACATCCCGCATCACCGGCACCCCCCAAGTGAGTGGAATGTGACTTCTTCGGCGTCATTCCCCGTATGACTCAGCTGCCCCATGTGACATCCGTGCAGACAATCCCCTTCTGCGCGAAACCCTCACTTGGGCATACGACGTGTATGTGGCGCGCGTAGACCAGCTCTCTAGCTTTGTCAGCCACTCCGCCCATTCCCGCAACAAACATCTGGCTGGCGGGAGAGTTTACTGGTTCCCGGGAGTGGGAATAGAAAGTGAAGTCGACGACTCAGTCAATTTCTCACGGGCGGGAAGCTGTCACGGCGTGCTAAAAGTCGTGATGTGAAAGGCTGCCAACTGACAGGATAACTGAGACCCCGCAGACAGTCCAGTGTGCGTTTATGTGGAATGGCCGACTGATAGGCCCAGCGTCAGGCTGCAATGGCTCTCTTTCAACGACACTCCGGTGTGGCGGCATGCTCTCAAGTGCCGAGTTACGCCGTTCTTGCCACCTGCGTCCATTCATGCTTCCGGTTTTCTTGTCTTTTTCATGATACTGAGTCCGGGTGGGGGAGGAGTGAGTGCGGTAGGTTCCGAGTAAGTCTAATACCACTATAAATAAGTTCACGCACATGTCGTCCTCCCTGCTTCCACTTTGCTGTGGAGCCCACGGTGGGCACCGCCAGGAACGACGCTAGAACTGTCACAATGTGGCCCTTCTTGAATCTTTGTACGCCTAAATTCTCGTAGAGCATCTGCAGCCCAATGTCAGCGTTTCATATTAGATGAACCACTGAATCTGCAGCTAAGTCACAAGCAGATTCCCCAACTCGTCATTTCATACTGCACCCTGTCTTTCGAACGCGGTAAGATATATTAGAAACCAAAAAACTCCACTATTTAAAAATCAGACTGAAATCTTTAAATAAAAATTTACCTGGATGCTGGCTCTTAAGCATTAATAAAAGCCGTCTGTGTTTATTCGTCTAATCAGAATAGATTAAGGTGAATGACACTACCTTGAAGTCCTTAACTTGGAGTAAAACCTTGGATTCCTTCAGTGTTTGCTAAGGAGAGTTTGGTCTAAATAAAAATTCGAACCCAGCCTAGGCTAATGTTGACCCGGGTCTGTACCCGAGTGACCAATCGAGATCTTTCGTCGTTAATTTCGCCAGTTTGATTCCCAAACTCGTTGTAAGTTCATTAAATGTTAACCGACAAGGTAATTCCGCTTACCATGAGTACTGCACTGTCTCTCACAAATGTGTAACAACCACAAGAGTTGCAAAAATATCATGTGGCCAATAGTTTACTTGTCTCACTTTTCAGGAACCTTGTAGTCACGCCTTCCATAAAAATGAATAAAAAGAGGAAAAATCATTTCAAGGGGCCATTCGTAATAAAAAGTGGCAGTTGACCTCAGACTTGGTGTGAGGGCTTTCCTCTAAGTTTAGGCATACTGCAGGGGTGTAGGGGTGTCAATTTGTGGGCCCACGTGACGTTTGTAGTAGGCCGTTCATCTGCATACAGGTGTAGACTACGGCTAGCGTCCATTTACTGTAGCCCAACTCTCACATGGGGCTCCCCGAATCTAGGCTCTGCCTAGCGGCCCCACCCCAGTAACCGCCTAGATATGCGGGCTAAACCAGGTGGAGGAATCCTTGAGTGAATCTCCCCACACGGTAACCTGTCTCCGCTGGCCGGATGGATCACCGCCTTGGCATCTCCGAGGCAAGACTCCATCTGCAACACCACAGGAAGCAACAGGGTAAGTGAGCCCCCAGGACAGCGAACATTACTCTGCCGTCTTTACTTTGCTTGTTCTTGCTTGTTTGATTCTGTCTTCCTGTTGAAGGTTCCTCAAGGTAAGCGAGCCGCAAGTAAGCTGAATATTGCTTTATTGTCTTTCCCTGTTCACTATCCGCATTTCATCAATGATCTAGCCTAACGTCTAACCAGGATTGCAGTCGCCACAACCGCTAACGAGGACGCCTCCGTGAAGAATCAATGGTGTCCACTGCAGGACACAGCCCAGTCGACGACTCTGGCTGTCCTCCGTCGCGCACGTCGACAACATCAGGACTGGTTCGATAACGACGCCGCAGGATTTCAAAGACGCCACAGTCGTCCACCTCTACAAGTGCAAAGGGAACCGGCAAATCTGCGACAATCGCCGAGGTAATTCTCTGCCGAACATCATCAGGAAAATATTCGTTCACATCCTTCAAAACCACCTGAACAACCATCTGGAATAGGCCTCCGCCGTCATCGTGGGACTAAGGGCATGATCCTCGCAGCCCACCAGCTGCAGGAGAATTGTCAGGAGATACAGATCAACCTGTACTCTACCTTCGTGGATCTGACGAAAACCTTCGACACAGTGAATCACGAAGGACTGTGGAAAATCACGCAGAAATTCGGCCCTCGCGACCGATTAACTTAGATGATGCGTTAGCTCCACGATGGTATGACGACACGCGTTACGGACAGTGGAACCATCCCAGAGGTATTTGCAGTGACCAACGGACTGATGCAAGGCTGCATCCTCGCGACTACTCTCTTCACTCTCGGGTTCTCTGCCATGCTGATGGACGCCCACCGTGACGAACGCTCTAGTGTCCGCATCGCCTACGGGATGGACGGCCATAATAACAGGCGGGTGCATTTCTAGTCACGTGTATCGGCAACTTAAGTCCATGGACTTCTGTTTGCCGACAACTGCGCTCTCAGCGCCACCTAATGCAAACGAGCATAGACCTCTTCGCCACCGCCTGCGAAGACTTCGGTCTGGTCATAAACACGGAGAAGACGGTGGTCATGCATCAACCGCCACCCAACGTCACCTACGTCGCATCCCAAATCAACGTGAAAGGCGCCCAGCTGCCAATCGTGGACAATTTAACCGACCTAGGCAGCAACCTCTCCCGCACCGGATCCCGGACACGGATGTACTGGAGCCGACGGGAACCCTCAGCATCTACACTATGATGAGACAGCTACAACTGCGTTGGGGCGGCCTCTTCGTCCACAAGGACGACGGCCACCTAAACGACTTTCCGAGATGTCGCAACGGGTTCCCGCCGACAAGGTCAAGTCCGTCGCTACATGGATACTCGGAAGACTTCCCTGAAGCGTCTGCAGATCAACCCGGCCAACTGGAAAGACCTCGCCCGAGACCGACCGACCTGGAAGAGGACAGTGAATGCAGGTGCGGCGATCTACGAAGTCAACCGCATCACCGCCGCCAAAGCCAAACGCTAGGCTCGCAAATGCTAACACCGCCCACCTCGCAACGCCAACGCTCAACCAGCCCCGACATGTCCACGATGCCCGCGGGCGTTCCGGACACAAATCCGCCTTGTAAGACATCTTCGCACCAACTTCAGCACTCGGACTACACTAGTTGCTGTCACCTCGTCCAAGTCTGCCTAGTCATCCACGTCGACAACTAACATTGACCGCACTCACACTACCATCCTCCTCCTCCTGCCTCAACATCCACTACGGCGACTTCTATGTCCACAAACACTGCACACAATCCTGACACCAGTAAATATCAGCCCCCACCCACCACGACAGTTCGTCCGTCGATTTCGACGATGACCACCGTGTGCCCCACAGACTGCATTGGTGGAGCAGGGACGGTGACTTACGCAGGAGTTTATAGTGCCAGTAGACTTGCGTAGCATCTACCTACACTCTCTCCTCCTCCCCCGCCTGGGCCCGGTGTCAAGACAGAGTCAAGAAGACCGGAGACGAGGGAGGCCGCAGGTGGATGGCTCGGACGGGTCTTCGCCTTGGCGCTCCACTCCGCACCCCTGGTCCACACACCAAGACCAGGATTTTGACCGCAAAACAATGGGGTGGAGGCAGTGGTCCAGTTGTGCGACGAATGCCGACAACAGGGTCCGCCAGCGCACCCCGGGAGGTTCGATTCCCGCTCTCCACGCCCCACCCACCAACAACCCAGCGATATGCACCTATCCATGCCTATCCTCATTGCGACCCCACCTTTAGCTCATACATCGGCCTGGTCAGTCATTTGCGAATCCATCGCACAGAGACTGGCGAACCAGAGCCTGGCGCGCCAACCTACACTCGCCGCATTCGCCTCCAATGTTCACAGTCCCGGCACATTCACTCGCCGCATGTGCCTATTCGGTCACGCGCGAATCCACGAGAGCGGGCTTGACCGCGGTCTCGACACACCTAGCACCTCTTGCACATCCGCTATGGTTAGCTCAACCCACACCCCGCCGCACAGCGCGCATATCATCAGCAGCTCCGCCACTGCCACCAACTCAGAAGCCGACACCCCTAACTCTCCCGTTCACAACGCCCACGTGAATTCACGTCACACATCAGCCTGGTCAGTCACTTGCGAATCCGTCGCACAGAAACTGGCGAACCAGTGCCTGGAGCAACAACATACACCCGACACGCCCGCCTCAACTTCCATCACTGCACCTGCACAGTCGCCCACCGCATGGGCCTATCAGGCCACATGCGCATTCACGCAAACCTGCGGTAGACAACCGCAGGCTAAACCACGCCATCATATCTTCCTCCACTTACACCACGCAACATCATCGACATTCAACACAGGCATCCAATTGCCACATCCCACGCAAGTGGTATGTGGGCTTCTCGGCTCCGTCTCTATGCTGCATGTGTGATTCGAGTCTGAGGCTATCACGGCGCGTAAAGCATCTCGGCTCGGAAGGCTGCTGATTGACGCCCAACTCATTCCGCCGAGTGGTGTGTGTGTTTGTGTGGAGTGGCGTACTGGTGGGCTTGAAGCCAGGCTGAAGAGACCCTTCTTAACGTGACCTCTGGCACTCTCACGCATGTGAGATGTACGCCGCCCAATCCGCGTTGTGTGAAATCCTGGTGCTTGTGTTTGGGGGATCAGGTCGTGCATGTGGCGTGCGTAGACAGGGCCACTAGATATGTCAGCCACCGCGCCTATTCCCCGCATCTATCAACTGCCTGGCTCGAACATTGGCTGGGGCCTGGTAATGAGAAGGGAGAGTGAGATCGACGATTCAGCGCCTTTTCCTCACTATAAACAATTTGGAGCGCTTAAAGTTATCCCGGCGAGTTAAAAGCCATGGCCTGGAAGGTTGCCAACTGATGGGACAACTTGGACCTCACAGTCGGACCAGTGTTGTTTGCTTGTGTGGAATGGAGTCAGGCTGCAGGGCTCCCTCTTAATGTGGCCTTTATGACACTCCCACTGAGTGGGATCCGAGTCGGGCTTAGGCGGCACGCCTGGATGCGGCTCCGGCCGTGTCAGCCAACCTTCAGTTGTTGGTTAAAATCCTGGTCATCTGCTGTGTGGACCAGGGGGTGTGGAGTGGAGCGCCAAGGTGTGGGCTCAGCCGTACCATCCACCTGCGCCCTCCCCCGTCTCCGGTCTTCTTGACTTTGTTTTGACACGTGGCTCAGGCGGGGGAGGAAGCAGAATGCGGTAGATGCTGTGCAAGTCTGCCACTACTATAAACTAATTCACGCACGAGTCACTGTCACTGCTCCACCTTGCTGTGGGGCACACAGTGGACATCGTGTAAAACGACGGTCGAACTGTCATATCCCAGACCACTTGGTGTTCCTGTCAGCTAACAGTTCACCCTCGTCCTAGACTTACCTAAAGAAAAAAGTAACCGTGTTAATATATCCTTCGACACTGGCGTCAGGTCAAATAAGCCATCACCAGCAGCGCAGATAACGAAGAATATATCCATATGCGAACAGTCAAGCCCCGAGAAGTATGGCTTACAAACTATCATATCCGCCTTAGATCCAGACAGGATGCTCTATGCAGAAATAGGGTGAACTCTCGGCAAGCGAAAAGTAGTCGCTGATTGCTTCGATATATTAACAAGGGCAGTTACACGTGCAATCGAATTGAGAGATTCGGCGGCGTATCTTTGAAGAAAACGAGCTCTGGTTGAAAGAAAAGGACTTTTGGCAACTTTTTTAACAGCACGTGAATGTGGAAGAGAGCGAATTGTGAAACGGTGGAAGAAAATCTGATACGAGGACAAACTACAGGGCATGACCGATCCCATGAAATTTTGGCCGAAATTCTGAAATGCGTTTTTACATTAGGAAGGATTACTTAGGTGGGGTTGTAACATTGCTCATCACCGTGGTATTTCGAACTCGACATGATGTCGACTTTTGAATGCACTTCATTTTGATCTCCTACAGAAACCACAGTTGGTAAAAAATGACTACTTAAGTGGCATGCATTTTTCGCATTGATTTTTGGTGGTCTGAATTCGAAAAAGTCAGCAGAAGCCAGGGCCGACGTTAGGGCCATTTTTCGTCTGACTGCAGTCAGCTGTTAGTTATGCATCAAACACAGGAGCTCGAACCCGGACTCTGATCACTAAGTGTTCTAGGTGAGCACTCCGCAACCAAGCAATAAACTCGCTGTACTTTGGGATACCCATAGCTATGCCACCACACGTGGGCTCTAAACAGGAAACCAAAACTGGAGTGAAATCGCCAGCGTAACTTCGTGCTATCAAGGTATAGGTACGGACGTCATGTCCACGCCCTCCAAGGCATAACAGCTAATCCGACCCAAATTTTGAAGTATCGCATTGCTTGCCGGTGAAGTAACAACAATTTCTCTTATGACGTTTACGCAGCCCTCCATGAATATCAGTATGCACTCGTGCCGTGACTGTAAAAGCTAAATCTGTAGAAAGAGGCTGAAGGCGACAACCACGAGCCCGAAGTAGTCGCGAAACAGGGCGCCCTTACTCAGAATGCGTATTTCGACTTAGGCGCGGCACCCAAAGCCGACCACATACTGAAGTCCCGAAAAGTGCGAAAGTTTGAGTCTCGGGTCAAAGTAACGACATGGCCTAGCTCCAGCTTATTTTCCATCACTAGCTAGTTAAGATATATTCGAGCTCAGCAGGCCGCAGAATAGAGGGCAATTTGGACGCCTCAGGTCGAGCCTTATAGCCACTTTGTTTTCTTTGACCTCAAGTTCGGGACGAACCAGTCTTGGGTTAACGGCTTCAAAAGTGCACTGTGCACTTAGACTTCACCTTAATCTCCATTTCTATGTAGAAGCAGTTCGCAATGAGGGATCGAAAGCAACTTCCGGCATAGTTAAGCAGGAGGAGTCCCTTCGAGACTGGATATCTTTTCGAACTCCCCCTGCTCTGCTGGAGAGGTGCAGCTTACCAATGACGTACTACCAGTCACAAATGTTGGCATGCACACCACATAAGATTCGATCTCTTCCGAAATGTAGATCAGCTTTTTGGCTTGTTACGTAAGGACTTAATTGCTGCTACTGCAAGTTTAGCGTGGGCTCGTCTGACACAATATACATAATTTGTGGCCTAGGCCGAAAACGAATAAGTAATTGTCGTTCCCGTGTGCTTGTCAATCAGCGCTTGGACAGAAATTACAAAAACGACGGGCGCTGTGGTAGCCTGCGTGTAGAAGACGAGCACTGGACCTCCTCACTGGTCATTTCCTGACTGACAAACGGCACCTCGCCCGTCCAGGGGCTTTTAGCGATCTTATTCCGTCCGGCAGCATGAGGCTCCCAATTATGCAATGACACGCTCCCGCAAATCACGGCCACCTGTGCCGATAAACATACGGTCACGCAAACAATGCGTATGCAAGTAATTGTAAGTTTAACTGCCATAGTGTCTCGAGTGTCACACGGGCGGACGAGTGCTGAAGCCAAAGTCCCCTCGGTGCTTGTTGAGGATACACGTCTTCCCTCCTGTAAATAATATAAACTCCCTCAACGCCGTCTCCTGCCTGGCGTGGGGATTGCAGTCATAAAGATGGATCACTGGCTTCGGCTGTTGCAAGAAGGCCATTGTAACACTGGCTAAAGTGGTGCGGACGGTTCTCCGTACCCCTCAGTTGGCCGATAGGGAATACCGTGCCAACGGTTTCGCGGCGTTTTCGGAATCCGGCTCCTGTCTAAAGTCGTTTCTGACGCCGAATTAGGTTGCCATAAGGATGTGGCTGGTATAACCTTGGGGCTGATTAGACACTCATTTCGTCGCTGTCGGTCCCTAAAGTTGCCTTGTATTCGGTTACGTTTGTAATGGTGGCGCGACCCGGGTATTGACGCGGTTTCCTTGTGAGGACGGTCACGCGACTACATAAGGCGGAGGGATGTAACCTCGCTGTAGACAGACGGCTATTTGACCGTCGAAACTGGAGAGTCGTTTGAGGCAACTAACATGATCATCATCGGTTAGAAAAAGAATACACCGTCAAGAGTTCCGCAAGGTTACTTAGTACCCGCACATGCCGCGCACCAACAACCGGCCGGATTGCCTGCTCGAGGCTGCCTCCTCTAACTGATTGGCGTGTCGGAAAATAGCCGCAAACAACATCAATAAGTTAATTAACTTAACTGAGATGATGGTCGCCACGTGAGGGTAACACTCAGAATTCGTAGCACTTTAAGTCGGGCGGCCTGCTGGATCGCCAGCAACAAGGCTGTCAGGCAGGGCCGTCTGCTGTGCACAGACGAAATGCAGTCAAAGGTACAATGCCAACACACCTGGGAGTAATGCTGTCAAAGGCGAGGGCCTTCTGTCTTCGTTGTCAAGCGCATTTACGGCTAAATTGGTCTTGCTGGACAACTTGACGCCCGCGACAGTGTGAACGGCCAGTCTACATTGCGGGTCAAATTAGCCTGACTGAGCACCCAAGGATTTGCTGTGCCATAAGCATAAGTACGAGACAGGTTACCACCTAAGGTGAGGTCCGAATGTGACCATATAAATGCTGCAGTTCCACCGCAACGCGAACCACGGAAGAAGCTATCGTCGGTTGGGTAGGGCCGCTGCAATAACTAAAAGGGAAGTGAGCAGCTGAGCTTCCTTTAATAATCTGCCTATAGGAAATCGGAAAGATATGAAGTCTGGATCAGGCGTTAGCTGTGCCACCTTCGGGGCGGAGGCAAAATACCTGGCCAGAAACTGCGCCAGTTGTGTTTAATCAACCGGCTGCGAATTGCTGTAAACCCGATTCGGATTCCGGCGGACATAACTCTACCACTACCTCTTTTAATAGGTGATCGGTTCATAGACTCCCTGGTTTTTCGTTACAGAATCCTCAAGAATTCCGTCAACTAACGTCACAGAAGACTCCAGCAGGCAAGTACGGGCTCTGTTGCGCAGTTTCGGTGATAGACCCGTAAGTAGACTGTTACTCAGCAGAAAGGCGGTTCTCCAACAGTTCTATTAGGTGTCAGGCAGAAACGGCATGTAAGTTGAACCTAACTCGGCAAATGCATATTCGATTAACAGTGAGTGCGGACGTGCGTGCTTGTGTCAGAAAGGGGTTTTCGCAGCACCCAAGCCAGTGTAAAGGTATACATGGGAGGGGAATTGTGCCTTAAGAGAGGAAAACTATACAAACGTGTCTGAACATTCCTTAATAGAAGAAAAACCTCCGGCAAAAGGCCAACGATCCGATCGGCAGCTCATTCGACACATCGTCTTTAGCAGGCGGACTGTATTTGTGACGGTCGAGCGGTGTGGAAATCGCCACGTTGGTTATTTGGCTGAAAAGACCCACGCGCGCTTCCTCTGCCACGACCACCTACAAAGTTAAATATGGTAAGTAAAGTTTAAAGAACAGGAGTGTCAAAAGGATAAGGACGATAGCTTATAAAATAATGCTACAACGGAAAGAGATCTAGCGTCTCTAGTAGTTTTTAAGGTCTGCCACGAGCTGGTAGTTGGGACAGTGATGAGTCGTGGCAGTTCGCAGCACGCAACCTTGCGGTGACTGGCTTCGTTAGAAACGTATACCTCACATTATTCCCAGCACTAACGACCACAAAAAATCAATTTATGTGGAGAAACTGACAAGCGTGAATGCTACTTAAACGGATATGCATAAAGCAAATGAATGACACCAAAAATGCTACCGTCAATCGAAAGACACTAAGACCGCGCTAAAGCTAGTTAATTAGGGTCCGTGCGGCCGGTTAAATCATGGTTGTTCAGTCGTCTAATTAAGGATAGTAGTAAGCAAGGATGGCTAAAAGGTTGAGGAAAAGTGATGAGAAGACGCCAACGACATAAAATACGTGAACAACGTTTTACGTTTCCACGGTGAGGACGTCGTAGTAACTCAGAAAGGGAAGAATGGTCTTTGCAAGAGGTTTTGTCCGTGCACGTGTAAAATCAGTCTTAGTACTCTTGATGAAATTAGCGAGTGTGCTGAAGTCACATTTTAACACTAGCGTCCGGGTGAACGCCTTCGCGTAAGCCTGAATTTAAATCTAAAAGCGTAAGTCGGTACTTCTGTTCTGCAAAATTTCAGTAGTGCGGTAAGGGCAGTACAGACTTAGCTGCCTGCATAAATGAATGGTTACGACACGGTCCCGTGACGGCAAAACTTTCCGTTTCTATGTAGAAAGGCTGCGAATAATCAAGTTAAGGACAACTAAGTCGACGACAAGACTAGAAAACACATAACGCTGTTAATATAAAGTGTACCTCGAAAACCTGGTCCGGCACCACGTCCACGACCACCTCTGAAGCCTCCGCGAGGGGCCCAATTACCATTTTCGCGTCCGTACACCGGACGTTGGCCACGATCCTGTGTGACATCATCTTCGTGCCCGTGAGGCTTTCCTAGAACAGGCTCGGTGGTAGATACTTGCTCAAAAACAGGTGGTTGTGTGGGTGAAGATGATACCGGTTCCGCGGCACTTCCACGAACAAGATCAGCCCAAGTCTTTGGTTTAGATGGTTTTACTTCTTCCTGAACGTGTTCCGCACTGATTATAGCTGTCTTTGACGGTGGTTCAGCAGGCACTGCCGGTTTACCGCGTTTTGCCTTCGATTTTTTCGGTACGTCCGCTGGCTTCTCCGTGTGTTTAGCGGCATCTGAATCGTCCAAAGAGAGCTGCATTTGCTCCTGATGTTGAGTGTTCTCAACCTGGGCCTGCGGCTGTTGAGTACTGTGTGAGACCTGCTGAGGTAGCGGTTCGGCATGCCCAAATGTTTCGTTCTGCTCGTCTGGGTGTTTACTATGCATCTCAATTTGTTGTGGCTGAATTTCATGTTCATGACGGGTGTTCTCCAGATGACGTGGCTGATCAAGCTGAGGCGGCTGATGCATCGGTGGTTGAGTGAGAGGAGCTCCTTGAGGAATGTTTGAATCCATGCGCGGCACCTGCTGACTATGATGTTGAATAGTTTCGTGTACTTGGGGGAGGGCATGAGACATCGAGATCGGAGGTTGCGAAACGAGCGAAGGAACCGCAGTCGATGAAGATGGTCCAACATGCGAATCCTGAAATAAGGGAAACTAAAGCTGGATATATCATGATCACTGTCCATTTTTAAGTAGAGGCTATAACCTGGACCCCGTTAAAATAAACTGGCGGCGACGAGGTTCTGTTATATTGTACTTATTCCTATGAATGCGTAACAAATGATCACCTGACCACATCGATGTGGATACGCCGAAAAATGAAATGCAATCGAGATCGACTGTAGTAAAAATACTAGGGTATAAGGTCTTTCAACAAACTGAGTGATAACATGACCTGCCGTTTTTGCCCGATACTATGACGGGGGCAGACCACTGACGATATCGGAAATAGAATGCTATCTCACTTGTCTAATAGCAATCCATTCACTAAAATGAATGAACAAGTGGATTAAGTTGCAGCCACAAGAGGAGCAGCTGCGCACTTAAAGTCTGTAAAGTTCCCTTTTCCATTTTCCCAGTTTAGCTTAAGACTACTTCGCGCTGTTCTGATGGACATCAACGGTTTCTTCAACACTCGATATGATTGATAAGTACCGTCTACCCATTGAAGGGTGATGTGGGTTTAGACATCACAGTCTTAAGAAACTCTCCCTCTGTAAAGCAAGCGTTGTGTAATAAGACTGACCCGAACAGCTAATATGGCTTAGCTTATGACTGTACTAACTGTATATTTGTGAATAAGCGGGAGGCACGGTCACTTAAAAGGAAAAGCGGTTTAGCCGCGTATAAAATTATAAATAGAGTGTCAGAAGCCGTCATTCTTCACTCTAAACTAATCCAATGTCATGAAGCAAACAAGATGCTTTAACGGCAGAATCCATGCAAGTCACAGATCTCTAACAAAAGAGGTGTTTTAAAGTTGACTTGACACTATGCATGCCAAGGCCTGTTGGCACAACTGCTAAATCCCCAAAACAGTCGACGACAAAGTGCGCTGGACCAGAACATGTAAAGTGCCGACGAACGCGCCGGAGAGGGGACGTGCTACACAAGCAAGCGAGTGCGCACACCGAACAGTAGCAAAATTACGCCAATCCAAGGTATAGGAATGCAGTTTATGCGCAACTACTGGCGCAGGTTCTGAGTATACAACTAGAAAGCGCAAAACCCAGTGAAAGCGGGACACAACAGAGCAATGCATTATGATGATAGTAGAAGACCACACCAGCTACAAGCACACGAGTAACTAACCTGCAAAAAGTTGAAGTTGGTCTTTAGTGGGTTTAGAACGGTATTGAGTATTACGTCTGCCTCAACATTATTGAGAAACTCATTTTCAGGCAAGCTGGGGACCGAAGGTTCAGTGTGCACTGCTTCAGGCTTGATTTCCTGTGGCTGGGTAGCAGAAGAGTTTTGTTTTACGGCCGGCTCTGAAGCCCTTGGGACTGGTTTTTTCTTGGGCGCCGCTAATTCAGTAAACGGCGCCGACAGCGCGGTCCTCACATCGGGATTAGATAGCAAATTCAGGCACATGGTCCTGACGTCCTCAAATGTCTGACCACGGAGTTTACTCCCTTTCGCGTTCGAAATGGGTACAGGGCGCCCAATAGCTAATCCAAGAAGAATAGAGGCCTGCTCTTTAAACGCATTAGATTTCAGTAGCGCATCAAATTCCTGAGAAAATGCGTCTGCAGCCTTTGGCTCCGGAAGCGGCATATTTATCATTTTCGCAAGATTATCTAGCATTACGAACTGCTGGGAGGACGAGGCTTTAATGATGGCCGCCTTGACGCTCGGGGATTGGAGTTTAGAAAGGAGACCCCAAATAGCACTCAGTCTCTGGAGTGAATCGACAGCGTACTCCTCGTTTTTGACTAAAGCCTCCTTCTCGTGCGTTTCGAACGCCTCGTCCAGTTTCACTTGTAGTTCGGCCAGACTGTCAACCATTTCCTTGATCACAGTAACGCTGCAAGAAACCATGTCATAGTCAAGCAGTGCTTTCTCTTGATCAGAATTAAGAGTTTCTCCTTTGGCTCGCATCGAACTGTACGTGTCTAATCTGAGCTGCGTACAATTAAATTATCCAGAAAGTACCTTTCTTTTAAGAAGATTTCGTTGTTTCTTCTCCAAGTTCCCAGCAAACTCTGCCAGCAAACAACGCGGAGAAGATTGCGAAGGCGCCATTTCCCACACAGCAAAAACACGCAGAATGCAACCCGATGTAGTGCCTTTGACCTTGGTTGGTCTATTGAAACAACATTCGTACATTCAATCACGGCCAAACGTGGACGTTCAGCCACTTTTCTGGTCCAGCACACAGTACTTTTTCTTCAATACACAATCCCTGTCCCGTATGAGCATCAAATAGCGTTAGGCAGCAGGCGCAGCAAACCTTGGTTGGGGATATGAGGTATGAAGAGATTAAACTTTCGGTTTATCGGATGCTCGTGCACGATTAGTACAAATAGTCCATTTTCTGTACGACCGCTTGATCTGAAGGATTCTATGAACGCCATGATTATTGTCCTTGTTTGCCTAACTGACCACTGTTGCCTTATGGACAAGAGTTCAACCACTGTTCGCCCTAAGTAACTGCACAAACTTTGGTAATTTTTGGGTGGCGAATATCTGAATAATGTGGAGAACTGACTTAATTTTTACGACCCGAGCATTCCTACACCTAATGTGTCAACTACTGGCAATATTTCATAGTTTGCGGGAACTCCATTTGCCCACTCTTATTCCCTAAAGTGATTGTCGTCCTTTTAATATGAGTAGGAGTGAGGACGTCGAAATCATCATTTATGATCAACAGGTAATTATTAGTCTGCTCAAGGTTCTGCTTCGCCCGCTATCTGCCGATGGCGATGACGCAGTCCGCTCCCATGGTCGCCCGCACGACTGCATATTCGTGCCGTATATCCGTCAATCTCAAGCTCCTTGGCACTTCGTTATCTGAGTCGCGTACGCCTTGGTATTTTCATGGCCAGATCTCAGAGACAACAAACGCTTCATGCTTTGCTAACTGGCTGCAGGCAGACAAAGCCAAGACGCGGGCATGCACTTCGGATCGGAGCCCGAAAATCTCAACGGTTAAATTTCGCTTAAAGAGAGCGCTTGCTTCAGTTGCTTGCTGTGCTGCGTGTACATTTCCTCGTGCCAGTATACCTCGTAAATCTTATTGTTTTGCTCGACTTGGATTATCGAACCTTCTAGTTGCCGACTCAGCACACCTCAACACTTGGTGACCGCACACGAACGCCAATCTTCTTTCAAATCTTCGACTTATTCAGATGGTGAAGACGGACAAGCTTCCACCAGAAGCACAGCCTTGTTTGACCCTCGATTCTGACCCTCTTACTAACACGGTCGAGCCGCTTGCGTAGGTGCACGACCTCATTAAGCCGTCACCTGTTGCACACTCAACTCACTTGGTTTCTCTTACATGTATCCCTCTCGCATGTGTAGTCTATAATGACGAATTCTGTCCGTCATATAGCTCCTATCCAGAAACAGGTAGCCTCCCCTTAACCCAGGGGTCTGCCAAAGTCATCTGGCCGTCTTTCTCAGCCTTCTTCCTTCCATCATCCTCTAGCAATCGCCACTTGCTGGCATCATATAACCTTTTTAGCCAAGGTCTCTCCCTGTTCCTTCTTTTCTCCGCAGAGCAAATGAATGATAAGAGTCAGCTGGAAGGCCAGTACGACCAATCGCCTCGTCATCTATAGCTTCCGGCGCGCTCTTCACGTCTGCAACCGTCGGCGTAACAGACGGTTCCTGGTTGACGCTGGTGTGGAGATGTTTCGTCTCCGCTCAGCAGCCGACCGTTGACGCGCTTATCTCGCATTATTTCTCCAGGCCGTCAACGCCTTCCGATCGTCATCTTCTATACTTTTTCCCTCGCCATGGACCTCGGCCTCAGGCGCCTCTTTTCGTGGGTATTTCTCGTTGTTGTCGTTCCTCGTGCAATCATTGCTAAAGATTTCCTCGTCGCTTTCGATTTTATGACCATCTTTTTTAAGTTTACATGACCTAACCACAGGTATCACCGACTGGGATATCATCTCTGTAGTTTTCCGACACCTCGTCATCCTGCACCCTGAACCGGATAATTAATTTCGGCGGCTCCTCGCCAAACTATAGGAAATCACCCATCCCTACTTCAGAGTCTAGATGACACCATCTAGAGGCGTGTCGTTTGAAATTCGCTTTGAATTTCAAGCTTTCTGAGCTTCCGAAGTTTTAGTCTCTAAACTTGTGCGGAAGAGACTTTATTTTGAAATAATGTATGAATAGTTTAGTGCATAAGTCTGATCTTCGGGAACATCTGCTCAGACATGACGATTTAATGATTCCTAAGACATCTGTCTCATGTGGAATTCACCACGCGCCGGATGTTATCCCCGTGAGAAGTGTAGAATTCAACTTACACTCGTTTTCAAGGGTATAGAAAGCACAGGCATTCACCATCCGTTTCCAAGGGACGGGTTTTCAGCGTCATCGATGGTGCACGGATAGCCGTCGAAAAAATAATGAACAATCGGAAAATCTTTCGGTCTTTGGAAATTATTCGAAGCCTTCGCAAACAGCCGGGATCAAACGCACGTACCTAAGCAGCAGGATGGAAGCAGATGAATCTACACTACCTGCTGGCAGCAGTAGATTTGTAGAATATAGTGAATTGAGAATCCCAGGTTGGTAGAATGACTTCGAAAGTGTATCCCGCTATTAGTTCATCCCCTGCTAAGCGGTCAAAAGCCACCTAACCTTAACGGACGTAAGCAACAAGAATGAAAAGTGAACGGGGTGTTTGAGTATCCTTCGGAAATCCTAAGGGACGGAGAAGAAGGGAGTGGCAAGCCTGGAAATCTGTTTGTTGTTCAGTCAGAAAACGAACACTAGCAGTATCAGAAATTCTAAATAAAGAAAATGCATCTGCGAAAGTGGCTTCCTCAAACACATTCTGCTTTCAAATCAAAGACATCACGTCCACAGAGCTCAAGAGCGTAGTGTACCTTTCCTTCGTTCGAAGGGGAGGTCGAAATAATTCATGGACTTTGCCATTGTCATTCAGCTCGGACAGTGTCAGCAACGGTCTGGCATTCAGACGAAAGCCGCATCGTTGCCGTATGCTTCACCGAGTGGCAATGTCGAAAACCATGCCGAATTTGAAGAATCGAAGAGGAAGAAGACAAAGTTTGAGAAGTTTGCAAACATTGTGGTCCGAATAGCAACGAAGCTCAAAAGAAGAACAGGCTTTTACCGGGAGTAGTTTATTGGAGGTCCGACGTTTCGAGTAGCGGATTCGTCTACCCATCTTCAGAGACTGGAAAGTTCTGTGCACATCTCCCTTTACATGGCGCACTTTTTTTCATTGCGTGACCCGCCAATACCGCCTGTGTAACTGCATTAAACGCGCATGTCACCGTGACCTGAATCGCCCCGTCGGCCGCGGAGATGACTGATGCATCGCGTGGTATCTCATCAATGAGGCCTCTTAAAATCATTACCGAAAATGAAGTCAAGGCTTCACAATTCCTAGAAGGAAAAACAAATCTTCGTAATTCGCATCAGAAGATGTTTTTCAGTCGTATTACGAGCCGACAGAAAGTTAAAAATGAGGGAACGCTGAACAAAAGAGGGGTAAAGTTAAAAATAAGGGTAGAAAAGATAATAGAGATCAATGGATTTTGCCTTTGGCCGATGCCTTTCGTAATTAGAACTGGTCTCTACTGATATGACCGACACTAATGTGATGGATTCAAATGCGCAGAGTCAGATTAATGAAATGGATGAACTCAGGACCTCGGGGTAAGAGCATTCACAAGATGTCATTGGCTTGACAGATGCATGCCCTTTTGAAAGCATTGTGGAGAATGAAGTATCCCTCAGAGGTTATCAAAGGTTTATCAGAGAGAGAAGAAAATAAATTGCGCCATTAAGTACCCCCTTAGGGTACTATGCGAGCAAGCAAAAATAAATATTCAAAAGAATTTTAGAAAGAGCAATCAAACTAATAATAATAATTTATATTCAAGACCAATTGGGGTTCTATCATTGCAAGTAAGAAAAACTTTTGCAGCAATTTTAAAATTTTAGACGAGGTATACAGAATAACTAGAGTGCTTAATTCATAGTTTTTGACTAAGTAGCATGTTACGAGGAATGTTCAGAGAGCAGTAAAAAAAACTCATCAAATAAACAAAATGAGTATGAGTGGATTAAAAATATAGGAGAAAAAAAAACTCGCGCATTAGTTTATAAAAGGCAGACAGGACCAGACTGTATATGGCATTAAACGATGGCATTCATGGAAGAGTGAGTTGGCGGGTCAGGCAGGACTGGCCTGTACGTTGACTTGGGTAAAAGGATCGAGTCAGGAATCATCATGGGAGAATTCACATGCCGGATGAGGCCATTCATGTCAATGTGGTGAATTTAAAACCAGTCTCGAGGCGATAGGAACCCAGATACGGTCAGTTACATTAATCCCAGTCCATTCGAGGATGGGGTAAGGGAGATACGACCAGACTACTGGTATATGGCAAATACAGAAGGCTCCGCCAAGAGCGCCGATGGATCGCATTCTGTGAGGACACGATGGGTGGACTGAGAAACCGAAAAATAAACACTTCTGATGAGGGATCGTAGGAAACGATACGACTTACAAAAGAAGGAAGGGTGAGCAGATACGGAAATTTAATGGCGGCATACTAAATTCCCGGTGGCCCTTTCTCAGTGTCATAGAGAATGTTGTCCGGGAAGGATGAGGAAAATGAAAGTTTAATCGAGTCAGTATTCAGATAAAGGCGAAACCTTCTCTTAAATGTATGTAGATTATCTGAAGATCTTATATTTATTGGAAGGTTATTCCAGAGGAAAGTATATCTGGAAGCGAAAAAAGAGAGAGCTTAGAGGTGGAGAAAGCTGGCGGAGGTATAATCAAGGAAGAGTTACCAAGATTGTATGGGCGACTACTAGGGGTAAGTGCTGAAATCCGAGGAAAATTTGGATTATGATTAATAAGAAAGAGGAGACAT